TCGTCCCGCGCCAAAGCTGGGATATAAGTGAGGTTGGGATATAACTGAAGGGGATATAACTGAGGTATGACTGTATATCCCTATCCCCAAAATTTTATGGTCCCGATTTCCCATGCTCTATAATAAACCATTATGTCATACCTCGGTTATATCCCCATTTATATTACACAAAATATAATGCCATTTCTATTTATGTAACTGTGTCAGATTTGTTGATCATTTACCACTTTTAATAATCAGGCCACATAAATCAGGCCACATAAATCGGGCCACATAATGATAAATTAGGTCACATAAATCGGGCCGTAAAATAAATATATAAAAGCGAACGTCTTTGTCAAGGTTTATTAAATTAACTGTCAGATCTATTAACTACACAGTTATTACCATTATTGCATCAGCGATAATTTACAACCTGCACTTTAAAATGGCCAGTTCTGCAAATACCACTAACACAGATAAACAAAGAAAACAACGGAGAAATTTATCACTTGAGGATAAAGTAAACATTATTAGGAGAAAAGAAACCGATGCTGTACAAAAGGGAAGAGAAGCTCTCGAATTAGCTAAAAGATTTTTAGAACAAAGAGAATTTACAACAGAAAGTGATATAAGATATATACGCAATATAATTTGACGCTTAGACGATTCAGTAGAAAAGACGAAACGCCAAACTTATTAACAGAATTTATTACCCAATAAAATTGCATGCATATAAACCTCAGTTGTATCCCACCTCGAATATATCCCCGAAAAAGCTCCGTCCCGAAGTGGGGATACAAACGAGGTAGGACTGACTGTATTATTGTGTTAACGTGTGGGGAATTAGTGTAATGTGATAATCCCAAATTAAAATGGGGTATAACATATATTTGTTAGAAGTCGGAAAAGAAAAGTTGTAGCTATACGCAGATTTACCTTTATTATCTGAACATAAACTTCCATAAATGCTACATTGCGGGTCTCCTTATCAGGAAAGATATTTTAAAGATTTGACATCTCTTAAAACAGATTTTCCTTTATCATAATTCTTACATGAAAAATTTGACTATTAAGTGCCTAATTGTTAATTTCAGGAAATTGCCATTTAGCTTTAATCCAGTTGACATGGATTAATTGCGCGACATTTTTTCCCTCTTCATCTTCATACCTTTGGATTAAACAATTGAAGCTTTAAAAGCTATTGCAACATGAAACGTTGAAAGAATATAAAACTCGATCTGTAACAAATAATGCATAAATTTCGTATATCGGAAAGAGGCCACTATTTTATCCCTATTCGAATGTCCTAGAACTCCCAAAGTTGTCTATATATCATCCGAGTTCAGTGACAGAAAAAAAACATCGTGACGAAGGCTGGTAAAAGTCCAGCACTTGGGAATACTGGCTCAATAGATTGGAGTTTTCAAATCCGATGTCATTATTATTTTTACAAGAAGCACAAAATGTTTAAAAATGTCTGCACTTCCATTTAATTTCCTGACAGTTTAAGTGGTTTCCTAAAATCGTCTACCTTCTATTACCAAATTGATTTGCATACAAAGACGTTGGATTTAGCGACCCTTGAATACAGGGCGTCGTTTTTCCGCGAATGCCTTAAGCGCTATCAACATAATGAATAAACAATGCGACATTTGTATTGAGAACGACTTTCGGTTAAAAAATTCACCCTTACCTTCAATGCGATCTTCTGTCGGAATGACCTGAGCATAGCACGACTGCTCCAAATCCAAGCCCGCATCTCTAAGTATACAACATTAGCAACCTGCTCGAATAACTTGAGTCAACAGTCCTTAAAAAAAACATCATTACAAGTCAAGTTGGCTTCCATGATCGATCGCTACTTTTGCCATTCGGAGTGCAACTGGTCCTTTATAAATTGAAGATGTATCGTATATGAAGAAAGCTTTTAATTCAGGTAATTAGACCAGGTGATGTATACTCACCACTAGGCAAGATCTCTCTTGCCAAATTTAGAGCTAATTGGTATCCTGACCCTTCCTTGGCGGCATAATTCACGATGCCTGTATTTAAAAGTCTTGATTATGGACGCTTCGGTAACACTATTAAACGATCTCATAGGGTCAGACATATACCTTCTTTCAATGCTTGCTGGGCATTAAGTATTCGACCAGTATAAATTAATTCCTTAGCTTTGGCAAGCCCAATTAATCTACTCAGTCGCTGTGTGCCGCCCGCCCTACATAGGCAAAGGCGTTAATCGCGATTTCCCTGTTTCTCGCCAACAATACAATCTGAATCAAAAATAGATACCCAGGAATAATGGCCAATTTTGTTTCCGGTAGCCCAACCTTCGCATGCTCTCCTGAGTGACAATACCCAGTATTTTAGTCACAAGGAAGCGAAAATCAATTCTATTACCATAGCATGGTAATAATACCTGCAACTCTCAGATCACAACATAATGCTAGCTCAAGTCCACCGCCCAATGCGACGCCATCAATTAATGCAATAGTCGGAATAGGAAGAGTCTTGAAGGCGAAGAATGTTGATAAGCAAGCCCCATTAAACAATTTATTATCTACATGGTTTAGTCAAATAATGATAACATACTTCGAGCTCATGAAACGAAACCCGGACTGTGTGAAGAAATTGCTTGACTTCATCTGCAGACATTGCCGCACGCTCCTACAAGTTCGGGCAATCGCACACGTTTATTAAAAGTGTACAATATCTGTACAAGTTGCTGCGTTCGTCTAATTAATGACCAAACCTTTAGATCTGCTCCTGCGCAAAAAGAGCCTTGAACCATACTTTTCAGCAATACAACTCTAGTCTCGCTTGTTAACAAAAGTCAATAATTAAATGGATCCCGACAACCAAGTCATTAATATCATCGTGAACGTACTTGTCATGTTTTAACAACCCAACAGCTTTACGAAAGCTTTCAACCAATTTTCTCGAAAGAGCGTTTTTAGCTTTCGGTCGATTGATACATAGTATAGATATTCCTATTCGTAGAAATCTGTTCAATTGATAATGTTCAATTTGTCCAATATACAAAATGACAGATACTAATTGCAAAAGTCTTTGAATAACACCTTTATCGTCTCCTGATAAACCTTCTATAAAGCATTGTTCCGTTTCTTCCGCTGCAGTTCCTGTCTGAAGTGTTCGTCGGAAATTAGGACTAATTACAGAGCGAGTGACGTTCCTCCTCAAAGGAACAATACAAGAAGACTTTAACACAAGCATTTATCAAGAAGCGCGGGAAGCGTGAAAGTGGAATTTACAGCGAAATCACGTGCCAAAGTTACTTCAGTCAGTGTTAGATTCTGATTTGACATATTGTAATAACAACCTTTTGCCAAGCAAATCGACCAAGTCAATCTTTTAGACAATACAATACTTCTTTGGAAGAAGATATGGGAGTTCCGGCCTTATTCAGGCATGTACAATGACTAGAGATATTCTCTTTTGTGACGTATATGACCGGTTCGAATTGCTGATGTAATGATCTGTCTTTTGTTTGCAGGTGGTTGTCAAGGAAATACCCTAAAATTGTAGAAAAAGTCCAAGAAGAGCTCCCGGTAGAAGTCAATGGCGTCGAAATACCAGTTGACATATCAAAGCCCAATCCCAATGGTATAGAATTCGACAACTTGTACCTGGACATGAACGGAATTGTTCACCCATGCTGTCATCCAGAGGACAAGGTATGTGAACTGTATTCTCAAGCGTATTGCGTACGATGTTCGCAATTTGGAGTGTTTGGATCTTTTCTTCTCCTTTG